GAGTTAGAAACATCGATGAGAGAGAAACATCGATCAGCTGCCTCCTGCACACTCCACACTGGGGATGTGCCCGCAACCAAGGTACATGCCCTTGACTGGAATCGAACCCGGGACCCTTGAGTCTGAAGGCCGATGCTCTATCCACTGAGCCAAACCGGTTAGGGCAAGATCCAGTCTTTTTGCATTTGAAATTTTAAAATTCTTCCCTCCCTTCCTGCCTTCATGAGTCTTTACTTCCTAAGTCCTTCTTTCCTTAATTTATTCCTTCCTTAAATCCTTCTGTCCAAATATATTGGTGTAAAGTTGCCAGTTCTCCATTTTAGGAAGGATTTGCATTCATTCTGAGATTTTTGGTGTTAAAATTGCCTTTTTTTCCCTTCATAACTATTTTCTTTTATTTATTTTTTTACAACGAGCTGAGCCTTTCAGTGAGGCCATCAAGTAAATATTTTGCATCCACAAAGAGCTGTGTAGCAACACCATTCAGATATAGTAATATACTTCAATCTTGTAACAGATATGACCGATTTTTAAAAAAAACTGTTAGAAATATGTGTCTGGATGGAATTAAGGTGCTGCAGACAAAAATAATTCTTGTTGTAATCCTCAAGTGAGAAATCCAGGTTTTTTTAAATTTATTTTTACAGTTGAGAGTATTACAGATGTCCCCCATTTTCCTCCCTTGGCCCCTCTCCATCTGGCTTCTGCCCTATTCCAGGCCTTCACTGAACTGTTGTCTGTGTCCATGGGCTGTGCTTATATGCATGTACATTCTTTGGTTAATCTCTTCTTGATCCCCCCTCCTTAAAATGGCCTTTTAAATTAGAATCACATAAATTATCCACTATTTTCCTCCTCATGTCCTTTCTTGGCAGAATATACCGGTAATAACTACTTACCAGTCCGAGATTTGTTTTGTAAATTTTAGCGGTGTGTGAAATTGAGCAGGCTGGAAGCTCCTGTTCTGCATGCCTTGCAGGGAGAAACCATGGGCTGAGAAGGGCTTGGGGATGGGGGAGAGCAGCCCTTCTCTGAACCTCAGTCAACCTGCAGGGAGTCCTCTCTTAATCTCTTTTGGGGAATAGAAACCATTTCAGATCAGGATTTTTTTTAAAATATATTTTATTGATTTTTTACAGAGAGGAAGGGAGAGAGATAGAGAGTTAGAAACATCGATGAGAGAGAAACATCGATCAGCCGCCTCCTGCTCATCTCCTACTGGGGATGTGCCCGCAACCCAAGTACATGCCCTTGACCGGAATCGAACCTGGGACCTTTCAGTCCGCAGGCCGATGCTCTATCCACTGAGCCAAACCGGTTTCGGCTCAGATCAGGATTTTAAAAAGGGAGACGAGTGAGGCTTTTGACTAGGGAACCTCAGCGATGATCTATGGCAACTTTTTCAGGCTTCTTTATTATTGTGAGGATGAAAGTTTCTATATCATTCCCTCCCGCGCGCCCTTCTTTTTTTTTTTTTTTTTTATCTCCTTCTTGGAGAGGCCAGAAAAGCAAATTCGTTGTTACTTCTTAGTCCTTAATAAACAGATAGGGAGTGGAATAGGCCACAGGGTAAGTGTTTATGCTTGGATTCTTTTTATACCTGTCTTGGTATTAATTGCCACAGCAATTTGGCATTATTCTAATCTGTTTTGTTCAAAATGACAATACTTTTTTTGGTGCCATTTCATAATCTTTATATCAACTCAGGTACAGTAGGTTCTTGAATAATGTTTCTTTCAGTGTTCATTATAATGTCAATGAGATGCCTTAGGAGCTTAACTCTTGTTTTATATCAGCTAGTCCCGTGGTCGGCTAACCGTGGCTCGCGAGCCACATGCGGCTCTTTGGCTCCTTGAGTGTGGCTCTTCCACAAAATCCCACGTGCGGGCGCTCACATACAGTGCGATTGAAACTTCGTGGCCCATGCACAGAAGTTGGTATTTGTGGAAGAGCCGGTATTTGGTGGAAGAGCCACACTCAAGGGGCCAAAGAGCCGCATGTGGCTCGCGAGCCGCGATTTGCTGAGCCACAGTTTGCCGACCACTGAGCTAGTCTATGGTAAAAAATGGTTTTGTTATATGTCATTTTGCACAGTTCCAAGAAGCTACTGATGATGTTAAGAACTAGCTAGAAGCTTTAGGTAAAACTAATACATTGGCATTAATACTTTAAAATGTATTAACCTTAAAATTCTAGAGGTGACCAAGGTTTTTTTGTTTTCTCTGCTTCTGTCCTCCCTGTTTTCATCCAGTAAAGAGGTGTGTGGTAAGGGAGGATGGGTCCCTGCTTCCTAGTCCAGCTCTCTTCCCCCTGCCAAGTATGTTGTGTGCCTATGTTCATGAGTGATTCTTTTTTTGTTTTGTTAATCCTTACCCGAGAATACATTTTTTTCTTCACTGATATTTAGAGAGAGTGGAAGAGTGGAAGGGAAGGTGAGAGACAAAGAGAGAAACATTGATTGAGAGAGACACATCAATTGGTTGCCTCCCGCACGTGCCCCAACTGGGGCTGGAGATTGGGCCTGCAACCAAGATACATACCCTTGACCAGAATCGAACCTGACCATTCAGTCCAAGGGCCAATGCTCTATCCACTGAGCAAAACTGGCTAGGGCACATTCTTGATTGCTTTTATCTGCTGCATTCACTGCTGTATACCCAATCTATAATAATAAAAGCGTAATATGCTAATTAGACCGGATGCCCTTCCAGACTACCTTCCAGAGGAAGCCGGGGCTACGAGGGAAGCCCAGGTCCTGGGTGCCAGAGGGAAGCCCGTGCTGGCAGCGGGGGAAGGAAGGCCTACTCTTGCACGAATTTCATGCATTTAGAATAAAGCTTGATATATAGTAGGTGTACAATAGATATTAATTGAATGACTCAGTGGACCAAAGGACTGAAATCCACCAATTGAATCTCCAGAATTTTTTCTTACCACCAATAGGTTGTAACACTGACTGGTGGGAAAATGACCTTTGTCCTTTGCCTGTTAACATCCTGACAGAATACTGATGTGCACTGAAATGCCAAAAACTAGGTTTCAAGAAAGAGGAGATCCCTAACTGGATGATTTATCCCTGCATAATTACTCTTGAGTAATGTATTTGTAGGAATTACAGTTCAAATAATTTTCTTATCTAATTTTCCTCAGGTCCATGTGAATAAATTAGACATGTTTCGAAACATGCCTGACATTCTCCATCATCTTACCACAGACCGCAGCACTCAGATCCATGCTTGTCGCCATCCAAAGGTACAGAGTAAATTGCCTTTTATAGTGCTTTTATTTACTTATATATTTTTAAATAATTCTTTATTGTTGAAAGTATTACATTTGTCCTCTTTTTTCCCCCATTGACACCCTTCAGCCTGCCCCCGTCCCCTGCCCCAGGCCCTCACCTCTGCATTGTCTGTGCCCATGGGTTATGCATATATGCATACAAGGTCCTTGGTTGATTACCTCCCACCCAAACACCCTCCCCTGCCTTCCCTCTGAGATTCCACACTCTGTTCCATGCTTCAATGTCTCTTGAACCACTCCGTTCATTAGTTTATTTTTTTACCTATATTCCCCATGTGAGTGATATCATGTGATATTTGTCTTTCTCTGACTGACTTATTTTACTTAGCATGGTCCTCTCCAAGTCCCTCCATGCTGTCTCAAAGGGTACGAGATTCTTCTTTTTTACTGCTGCATAGTACTCCATGGTATAAATGTACCATAGCTTTTTTATCCACTCATCTACTGATGGGGACTTGGGCTGTTTCCAGATCTTAGCTATTGTAAATTGTGCTGCTATGAACATAGGGGTACTTACAATCTTTCTGATTGGTATTTCGGGTTTCTTAGGATATATTCCTAGAAGTGGGATCACTGGGTCAAATGGCAGTTCCATATTTAATTTTTTTAGGAAACTTCATACTGTTTTCCATAATGGCTGCACTAGGGTGCATTCCCACCAGCAGTGTACTGGGGTTCCCTTTTCTCCACATCCACGCCAGCATTTGTCATTTGTTAATTTGTTGATGGTAGCCATTCTGATAGGTGTGAGGTGGTACCTCATTGTCATTTTGATTTGCATCTCTCTGATGATTAGTGACTTTGAGTTTTTCATATGTCTCTTGGCCATCGATATGTCCTCTTTGGGTGATACCTCATTGTTGTTTCAATTTGCATCTCTCTGATGATCAATGACTTTGAGCATTTTTTTATAAATGCTCAAAGTCATTGATCATTGTATGTTGGTCATTGTATGTTCTCTTTGGAGAAGTGTGTCTATTTAGGTCCTTTGCCCATTTTTTAATTGGATTGTCTGTCTTCCTTCTGTTAAGTTGTATGAGTTCCTTATATATTTTGGATATTAACCCTTTATCAGATGTATCATAGTCAAATATATTCTCCCATACAGTGGGCTCCCTTTTCGTTTTCTTGATGGTTTCTTTTGCTGTGCAGAAGCTTGTTATTTTAATGTATCCCATTTATTTATTTTCTCCTTAGTTTTCTTTGCCCTAGGAGATGTTTCTGTAAACATATTGCTACGAGAGATATCTAAGATTTTGCTACCTATGGTTTCTTCTAGGATTTTTATGGTTTCCTGTCTTACATTTAAGTCTTTTATCCATTTTGAGTTTATTCTTGTGTATGGTCTAAGTTGGTGGTCTAGTTTCATTTTTTTGCATGTATCTGTCCAATTTTCCCAACACCATTTATTGAAGAGACTGTCTTGACTTCATTGTATGTTCTTGCCTACTTTGTCAAATATTAATTGAGCATAATGGCTTGAATCAATTTGTTCTGTTCCATTGTTCCATTGATCTATGTACCTGTTCTTGTGCCAGTACCAGGCAGTTTTGATTACAGTGGCTTTGTAGTATAACTTGAAATCTGGTATTGTGATTCCTCCAACTTTCTTGTTCTTTCTCAAGATTGCTGTGGCTATTTGAGGTCGTTTTTGGTTTTATATAAATTTGGGGGATATTTGTTCTGGATCTGTGAGATATGTTGTTGGTATTTTAATAGGGATTGCACTGAATCTGTAGATTGCCTTGGGTAGTATGGACATTTTGATGATGTTGATTCTACAAATCCATGAACACGGTATATTCTTCACTTGTTTATATCTTCTTTTGTCTCTTTTTTCCAATATCCTGTAGTTTTCCAAATATAGTCTTTTGCCTCCTTGGTTAAGTTTATTCCTAAGTATTTAAAAATTTTTTTTGTTCCAATGGTAAAAGGGATTGCTTGTTTAGTTTCTCTTTCTGAGAAGTCATTATTGGGGTATAAAAAAGCCATTGATTTTTGTGTGTTGATTTTGTATCCTGCTACATTGCCAAATTCATTTATTAAATCTAGTAGCTTTTTGGTGGAGGCTTTAGGGTTTCTGTGTACAATATCATGTCAAATGCAAATAATGAGTGTTTTACTTCTTCCTTTCCAATTTGGATGCCTTTTATTTCTTCTTTTGTCTGCTCACTGTGGCTAGGACTTCCAGTACTATGTTGAATAAGAGTGGTGAAAGCGGCCATCCCTGTCTTGTTCCTGTTCTTAATGGAAATGGTTTTAGTTTTTGCCCATTGAATATGATGTTCACTGTAGGTTTATCATATATGGCCTTCTATTTCTACTTTGCTGAGAGTTTTTGTCAAAAATGAGTATTGGATTTTGTCTAACGCTTTTTCTGCATCTATTGATATGGTCATTGATTTTTTTCTTTCAATTTGTTTCTTTCAATTTATCATGTTTATTGATTTGCAAATATTGTACCAACCTTGCACCCTTGGAATAAATCCCACTTGATCATGGTGTATGATCTTTTTAATATATTGCTGGATCTGATTTGATATTTTGTTGAGGATTTTAAGTATCTATCTTCATCAGGGATATTGGCCTGTAATTCTCTTTCTTTGTAGTGTTTATCTGGTTTTGGAATTAGGGTAATGCTAGCCTCATATAAAGTGCTTGGAAGTGTTCCTTCCTCTTGGATTTTTTGGAATAGTTTGAGGAGTATAGGTGTTAGTTCTTTGAATGTTTGGTAAAACTCCCCAAACTGTCCAAACCCAGGCTTTTGTTTGCTGGGAGTTTTTTATTACTGCTTCTATTTCATCTGTTGTTATTGACCTGTTCAGGTTTTCTGATTCAGTTTTAGGAGATTGTAGTTTTCTAGGAATTTGTCCATTTCATCCACATTGTCCAGCTTGTTGGCATATAGTAGTTCATAACATTTCCTTACAATCCTTTGTATTTCTGTGGTGTCAAGTGGTTACTTCTCCACTTTTGTTTCTGATTTTATTTATTTGGGTCCTCTTTCTATGTTTCTTGATGAGTCTGGCTAATGGTTCATCAATTTTGTTTATCTTTTCAAAGAACCAGCTCTTGGTTTCATTGATTTTTTTGTATTTTTTTTTTTTTAGTCTCTTTGTCATTTATTTCAGCTCTAATCTTTATTCTTTCCTTCCTTCTACTTACTTTTGGTTTTCCTTGTTATTCTCTTTGTAGTTCTTCAAGTTGTAGAGTTAGTTTATTGTTGATTTTTTCTTATTTTTTGAGGTAGGCTGGTAGTGCTATGAACTTCCCTCTCGGGACTGTTTTTGCTGTGTCCCAGAGATTTGGGGTTGTTGTGTGTTCATTTTCACTTGTTTCCAGGAAGTTTTTTATTTCTTGTTCTCGTTGCTAACCCATTCATTGTTTAATAACATGCTATTTAGTCTCCATGTGTTTGAATGTTTTTACTGTAGTTGATTTCTAATTTCATTCCACTGTAATCTGAGAAGATGCTTGATATGATTTCAATCATCTTTTTAAAAAATATTTTTATTGATTTCAGAGAGAAATGGAGAGGGAGAGGGAGAGAGAAACATCAGTGATGAGAGAGAATCATTGATCGGCTGCCTCCTGCACACCCCCTACTGGGCATTAAGCGTGCAACCCAGGCATGTGCCCTGGATCAGAATCAAACCCGGGACCCTTCAGTCCACAGTCCGACACTCTGTCCACTGAGCCAAACCTGCTAGGACGATTTCAATCTTCTTGAAATTTTTATTTATTGGTTTATTAAAGGGAGGGAGGGAGGGGAAGAGAGAGGGGGAAAAAAACATCAATTTGTTGTTCCAGTTATTTATGCATTCATTGGTTGATTCTTATATATGCCCTGACTGGAGATCAAACTCAAGACAGTGCTCTAACCAACTGAGCTAACCAGCCAGGGCAGTTTATTTCATCATTTTGTTTGTGTATATATGCATATATATATATACACAGCCAGAGAATTCGTGGATGGATAGAAAAATGTAGATACACACTGAAACTCCTTTTTCTGTTGGACTTAGTCTTTGGTTCCCTAACATCCCATAAATCTTTTAATTGGCCAATTTCTTTTTTCACTCTGAGTTTTCTCACATCCCACAAAGTAGCTTAATTTGTAACTGCTACACCTGTAATTTTCCACACAGCTACTTGCTTTGAACAACTTCTAGCAGCTTAGATTTCTTAAGTTACATAGTGTCACAAATATTGAGCAGAGCACAGCTCACAGAGCCCAGCTCACAGAGCCCTGTGACATCTAATACAAAGCCTCAGAGGAAGCAGCAGTAAAGGCACTGGATGGCTCTAGCTGGTTTGGCTCAGTGGATAGAGCGTCAGCCTGCAGACTCAAGGGTCCCAGGTTCGATTCCGGTCAAGGGCATGTGCCTTGGTTGCGGGCACATCCCCAGTAGGGAGTGTGCAGGAGGCAGCTGATCGATGTTTCTCTCTCATGGATGTTTCTAACTCTCTGTCCCTTTCCCTTCCTCTCTGTAAAAAATCAATAAAATATATTTAAAAAATAAAAAATAAAGGCACTGGATGATGTGTGATCCGAATGGAGTGCATGTGGTTTTGAAGGATCCTGATCTAAAATAATGTCTTTGGGACAATAGTCCCATTGTTTTTCAACCTTTTAAAAACACTTTTTTTCCCCAACTTTATTTTGAAAAATTTAAAAACTATAAAGTCATGAGACTGGATTCCTCAGTTTGTTAACACTTTGCCACATTTGCACTCTCGCCCCCCATCTCTCTCCCTCCCTCCCTTCCTCTCTTTCTGTAACCAGCACTGCCTCACTCCACCTCCAACCCATTTGAGAGTCAGTTGCAGACTTTATGGTACTTCACCCTAAACCTTCAGCATGTATCATTGGAGAAAAGATTCTCCTGTATAACTACAATACGCTTCCCACACTCACAACATTTAACACGGTTATGATATGACAAGAGGCCCGGTGCATGAAAATTCATGCACTGGAGGGGGCGTTCCCTCAGCCCGGCCTGCCCCCTCTCACAGTCCGGGAGCCCTCAGGGGCGGGAGGCAACCTGGCGATCAGGGGAAGGTGATGCCCTCATCATACCTCTGCTGCTGCCACTGCTGGCAGCACAAGCCTCAGCCGGCCCTGGTTACCTGAGGCTCGGGCACCACTGGGCGTCTGGGCAGCCACCATCCGAGGCTTGCCTGTGCCTCGGGCCGGCCCTGGGCAGCTGGGAGGCTGAGGGGACTGGGGGATTCCAGAGGCAGGTGTGCGGGGCACGCCCTGCCTTGCCGTGCACCTGCTGCCCTGGTGGGGCTGAGGGGACTGGGTGCCGCCATCTTTGAGGGCGTGGCATTCAATTAGCATATTCCCTCCTTATTGGCTGTGGGCGCCGCCATCTTTGCGATGGTGTAAGGGTCAATTAGCATATTCCCTCTTTATTAGATAGGATTGGGTATTGTATGGTCCATACAGTATTCAATTTTCCTCAATTGTCCATTAGTATCCTTTATAGCTTGTGAAATATGGGCAGGGCATCTAGGATTTAATGAAGAATCATTAAAGATGCCTCTTCAGTCTCATTTAATGTAGATCACATCTCCAACATTTTGCTTTTCTTCCATCACACTGATATTTTGGAGATTCCAAGCCAGTATTTTTGTAGGAAGTTCCTCACTTTGGAATTAGCTGATTGTTTCCTCATGTCTCCATTTATTATTTTCATGTCTGAAAACTTGTCTACTTCTTTTGTTATTGAGACCCTGCCTGCAAAAAAAAACTGCTTTTCTATATTTTTAAATTTTTATTTTTATTTTATTTTATTTTTTTTCACATGTGCATAAATTGTGTTTATTGCTTATTATAGTGTACATTTCTTTTTTGTTTGTTTTTTTTTATTAAATCTTTATTGTTCAGATTACATTTGTTCCTCTTTTTTTCCCCCCATAACTCCCCTCCTCCCAGTTCCCGC